AGTTCCAGGCTCTGATACCACTGTAGAGGCCCAAACCACACGATATTAAAACAAGATATCAAATAATCAATCTCAGAACAGAAAGTAAAAGTTGTAGAAATTAAAAATAAACACAAGATATGTTTTGGCCTAAACCTCGAAGGTTCGACGACCGGATCTAACGCCTACATCCCCCGTTGAGCATCCAAATAATGGATATTACTCGGTTGCACTAAATAGCTAAAACATGGCAACAAACAGTTACAAGATCTGTTCAAGAATACAAGACAAAAGGATACGGAGACTTATCTTTACAAAAGCCTTTAGATCGAACTCCCTTAAGGCATAAAATAGGCCAATACAAAGTTCTTCCTAACACCTCATTAACTGCTCGAATCACAAAAGATTCAGCACCCAAATCACTCAAAGAATACTCACTACACAACAATCAGAAGTAGATCTAAGAGAATATACAGTTTACACAATTCAATCACTCAAGAATGTAAACCCTAGAAAGAATGAGGTTATTATCTCTAACAGACACAAGAGAACCAAGAGCTAGAAGAGAGAACCAATAATGATCCAAAAGGCGTATCACAGAAGGTAAAGAGTCAAAGACTCTAGAATCATATCCAACGGCGAGAGAGGTGCCAAGTGTCAACAATCCAGCCATTGTCTCTAATTAATAAAAGTGTCATTCCAGAAACACGATTTTAACACAGATTGTTGGAAGCACATTAATAGGCAGGTCACGGGTTCGAAACTCAACACTAATGAATTGATAAATTTATTGAAGTTAGGGATGGTGAAAAAGGCTAGGAATTTCGCAAATCGATTCCGTCACAGGAAAATACCTGCCAATGCTGGGATCAAACTAGGGTCTGTATTTCAGTTTTTTAGACTACTATATATAAACTATATGCATTTGTAAAAATCTGGCATTATACGTTAATACCTCTCTATCCATGCAATGAAATTATCCAACAATCACAATAGTTTAATAAATGTACTTGTTATAGTATTATGTGTCTTCTAATAGTAATACTCAACCACCAGAAAGGCATTTCAGTATTTTTATCCTCCAAGTTTATTGCACCAATAATGTGTACATCATGGTTAACAATGAGTTTGACCCCTTCCAAGTGATAGCGATCTACACCATTGATCTTAAAAACATCAATTCTATCACTGTTCAGATTTCTTTCACTTAAGGAGATGTCATACTTTGTATCAACCAATAATATACATCTATCTTAATTCTTACCGAATGAAGATGCCAAAGCGTAGGGAAGGCTATGGGTAAGTGTGGAGCCGACTCACCTTGTTAGGAAATTTCAAGAGGTGGGTCAACGGCATGATGTGACGTAGATTAAAACACCTTTATATATAGTTTTGTCTATAAATACACGGAAAATTCTGTTTGTACAGAAAAGTTTTATACAGAAAAATTACATACACTCTCATAGGGGGTGGGCCCCATGTGAATTAAATATTGTCAAAAAAAAAAAATGGACCCCACATATTGTGTGTATTTTGTAGGTTGTCTATATATTTTTCTTCTGTACACACAGCAGTAGCATGTTTCATATATATACACATGATTTCAATTGAAAACATAATGATAAAATGAAAAGACCTAATACGGGTTCGGGGAATTCAGGAAGGACCATTTTTTTGTCCTCACCCTATTCAAGGTGGGGGCAATACAAGGCTAGTTGGGAGTGAAAATTTTTTGCATCCTTACCAAAGTGATGAAATTTAAACTTAAATGAAGCTTAATGGCTCAATCCCTACTTAAATTTCATTTCAAAAATTAAATTTTAATTAATTTTTTCAGGTGTTAATTATATTTTTTTAAAACAAATAAGCTCAACTTTAATTATTTAGTTATTATAGATATGGTGATTCTACTACTTTAAAAAGTTAAAGTATGTTTAG